CAGCCGAAGACAGCGTTCCGATCGCGCTTCGGCCACTACGAGTTTACGGTGATGCCATTCGGCCTCACCAATGCACCCGCCACCTTCTAGAGGGCGATGAACGACATCTTCAGGGACATCCTGGAGCAGTACGTTCTCGTCTACCTCGACGATATCCTGGTCTACATTCATACCCTTGAGGAGCACCTCAGGCACCTTCGCGACGTTCTTGACCGCTTGCGCAGACATGGCTTCTACGCCAAGCTGAGCAAGTGCCGCTTTGCCCAGCACAAAGTGAATTTCTTAGGACACTACGTGTCTGACCGGGGTCTCTACATGGACGACGCGAAGATCACTGCTATTGCAGAGTGGCCCGCCCCCACATCCGCCAAGCAGCTTCGCAGCTTCCTAGGCCTGACCAGCTACTATAGTAACTTTAGCCGGGGATACGCTAGGTATTCCTATGTCCTTACCTCCACCCTCCTCCGGAAGAACCCACCCTGGGCTTGGACACCCCTCCCTGAGGACGCCTTCCGCGCCCTCAAGAAGGCGGTAACATGCGAACCGGTTCTTCACCTACCCGATTTTGATCGCCCTTTTATCCTTACCACCGATGCGTCAGACTTTGCTGTAGGAGCAGTGCTTTCTCAAGTCTTCCCCTACTCTCCTGATTCCTCTCATCCTCGTATCCCTCGCTTCCCACCACCTACCCCTACCACTGCTTCTCGACTGACGCCTACTCGTCCAGCTACTGACGAGCCCTCTATTGACTATTCTCCTACCATCGCCGAGGACGACACTATCGAGTCTCGCTCAGGTGATTGTCTGATAGCCTTCTACTTCCGTCAGCTCCTGCCCGCCGAGATAAACTACACTGCTGATGAACATGAGGTTCTCGTAGTAGTTTATGCCGCTCGGCACTGGCGTCACTACTTGCACGGGGCACCATTCACGGTGCGCACGGACAACTCTGTTGTTCAGGCTTTTCTTACAAAGCCGAAGATCACTCCTCGACAGGCTCGCTGGTGGCGCGACCTATCCGAGTTTAGTTTCACCACTGAGCACATCAAGGGTGAGACTAATCGGGTCGCAGATGCCTTATCCTGTTGCCCTGACCACGACCAAGAGCACATCCAACTCTCTTCCATCTCGGTCACCACCGTCCACCACTCGGTGATCGACGAGTTTCGCACTCAGTACCGCCACTGCCCCGACTATCGCGACATCCACGCGACCCTTCGGAGTGGCAAGACCATCTCGAACTACTCTCTCGGGGACAACGGTCTTGTGTACTGGCACGGTTAACAGGGCACCAGAGAGCCCCGTATTTGCGTTCCCTCCACTGGACATCTACGTGTCAGAGCAGTAGCAGAGTTCCATGACCAGGCAGCCGCCAGTCATATGGGCTTCCACAAGACGTTGGCTCGTGTGAGCCGCGTGTACGTCTGGCCGAAGCGCAAGGACTTTGTGAAGGACTACGTCGCAGAGTGTCCCACCTGTCAGGAGGTGAACAGTGTGAACCACCTACCTTATGGTTTGCTCCAGCCTCTTCTTATCCCTGAGGGTCGTTGACAGTCCATCTCGATGGACTTTATCGGTCCTCTTCGACCTCTGACCCCCCGCGGTTATGATGCTATCATGGTCGTCGTTGACCGCTTCACGAAGCGTGCACGCTTTGTTTCGTACCGCTATGCCATCAGTGCACGTGAGGTCGCCGACATTGTATTTGACCGAGTCGTGCGTGACCACGGCTTACCTCTGAGCATCATATCTGACCGTGACCCGCGCTTTACCAGTCGATTCTGGCGACGGCTCCACGAGGTGTACGACACTCAGCTCCGCTTCTCCTCGTCTTACCATCCTCAGACTGATGGTCAGACCGAGATCACGAACAGGACTTTCGGGGATATTCTCCGAAAGATTATTCGTGACGACCAGCAGTGGGATCTCCATCTTGCCCACGCGGAGATAACCTATAACCACGCCATCTCGCCAGCCACGGGGATGTCGCCTTACTATTGCGACCTCGGCTACCACCCTCGTGTTCCCGCGGACTTCCTCCGACCGTCACAGATGCACCTCGACACGCGTTGTCCCGCGCTGGATGATTGGGTTGCACACATGACGTCGATCATGAAGACCGCACATGAGCACATAGCCGCTTCCCAGACTCGCATGGCAGCACGTGCGAACCGATCGAGGATGGATCATCCATTCAAAGTCAGTGATGACGTGCTTATCGACACCCGCCACTTACAGCTCGAAGCGGACATGCTTCGCACGTTTCGGCGTTGCTTCTTTGGCCCACGCCGCATCCTCTAGGCCGTCGATTCTGATACGGCTTCTAGCCCGGTCAGCTTCCGTGTGAAGCTGCCCGACTACCTACGCCAGACTCGCGTGCACGATGTCTACCACGTCTCGTTACTGCGTCCTTATCGCGGACCGTCTGAGCGTTTTGCCGGACGACCATACGAGCGCCCTCCACCCATCATGGTGGACGGTCACGAGGAGTTCCTCGTTTCAGACATCATTGGTCGCCGAGTCACCGACGACAACCCTCCCCATGTCGAGTATCTCGTACGTTGGAAGGGTTACCCTGATGAGGAGGCTACCAGGGAGCCCCTCGAGCACTTGCAGCACGCTCGCATGTTGGTGTGTGCCTATGACCGTGCTCGTCGTGCTGGGTTCACTGCTCCTCCTCAGCCCACTGACCCTCCTCCTTCTCCTCCGGCTGAGGAGACCGCTGAAGTCGAGCCGACTCCATCTGAGGCAGACCTTCAGCAGCAGCCGGATGCTTCTAAGCGTCCACAGCGCACTCGTCGTCGTCCTGCTCGATACGACGATTGACTCTGACTTACCTTCCCACGTCTTTGACTTCTCAATACTCCATCCACATCAGTTTTGCTACTTCAGCTCGTCGACGTTGCGGCTCTTCCTCGACGGCATTCCGGACTTCTCATCGTGGACCTCATCGGCAGCTTCATGGACTTCATCACGATCAGCTCTGCCTACTTCAGACGTCGCCACTCTCTTACCACTCTACCCTGTACAGTACCTTGCTTGTGCCGCATGATGGTCTCCCTTTAGCCGGGTTCCTCTGAGTTGGGCTCTCCCTTAGTATACTCATAGGCATCGGGACCGTAGCGTTGCCCTGGCTTCCCATCTTACGGATCTAGCTCCGACTTCCCTCCCTTTAGGAGTCATTTGCATGATTCCCTTACCCATCATCTTTTTACCCTTCGCCGGCCTCACGCCCCAGTTAGGCAACCCCGCATGGTTCATCTAGGTGCGCCCAGTATACCAGGCTCCCCTGTTCCTTTGCATGGTCGACCCTCCATAGCGGTCACCCCTTAGTCGAGCATTACCCGCCCTGATGGTCTATCTGTTAGGGTCATTGGTTCTGTTCGCTCCCAGTTCCCTACCCTCATTGAGCCTGATGACATGTGTCTCCCTGTTATCTATGTGTGGATGCCCTTAGGAGTTTTCGACACCTAGGCTACATTCGCCACCCTCAGAGACCATCCCACCCTTTGGTTTGCGACACACTTCTCATGTGATATATGATAGACTTGTTGTTGCTTTGTTGCTCTCTGACTGAGGCTACTGCCTTTGACATTTCTAGGATTTAGTTAGTTGCTTTTGCTTTCCTAGGACATGTATGTTAGTTAGTTGCTTCTGCTTTCACTTAGGCTGTTAGCTGTGACATTGCTGTTTTGTGACATTTTATATCCTAGGTTGCATTGCATGGACTCAGCATGGAGCTTGCTCCGCATCCTAGACTACTCAGGTTTTCTTTTGTTTGGTAGAGTTCCGCTTCTTGGTGGAAGCATGTTTGTATCTAGGCGATCCACCACAGGCCAAGGATCGTGTAGCGGACCTCGGGTTGGCCTGTGAGACCAGCCCCTTGGCCTGTTCTCACAGGCCTGTGTTGTATTCGGGGTAGGCCAGTCCAGGCCGGTACCTCTGTCGGTACCAGCCAGTCCAGTCCARTCCCGTCAGTCCGCTGGGGTATACCCCAGCCACTRTCTGTTTTCAGATTCATTCTTCACTTGCACATTTTGGAGTACGTGCGTTGGAGTCTTGCGTGGGGAGCTGCGTTGTGCCATCTCGCTCCCCCTTCTTCCTCCATCTCCATCTCTGTCACTAGCGGAGCACCACACCTGGTGGGTCCGCTACATTTTTGCTATGACGAGAGAGGTACAGTAAACAAACTGCCAAGGTGCTGATTTATTTTTATTATTATTTTTTTTTTTGGTGCTGATTTTTTTGCTATGAGGAGAGAGGTACTTCTAAGGGCATAGTCTCACACTAGGACGTTTTTGACTAAGCTCTGGACGTGATTGTGGTCAGATTCATCCAGGCCTAGCCGTAATTGCAAGCAGATACATTTAGGTAAGTACCCTCCTAACTGCTGGTAACATGCCGTGATCTTAACGGTTCAACTCACAATTCACAGCTACTACCTTCTTCCCCCGAATACTGAAAGATGCCTCAAACACAGCTGTAATGACCGTACTACGTTGTATTGGGGGAAGACAGTAACAGTGAACGGGTGAATGTCAAATTGACGATCACGAAAGAACACACACACACACACACACACACACACACACACACACACACACACACACACACACACACACACACACACAGAGAGAGAGAGAGAGAGAGANCACACACACACACACACACACACACACACAGAGAGAGAGAGAGAGAGAGAGAGAGAGAGAGAGAGAGAGAGAGAGAGAGAGAGAGAGAGAGATCCTTGGGTCTTAGTAGCGTCAACAAGTCCTGAAGGACAGCAATACAGCTGATATGATAGGGGTAGGTACCACAGTTGGGACAAAGTTGGCACTAGCTAGTATTTCCATACCCAAATTCAACAGTTGCGGGAGCCCCAGACGGCCCGCTAGGGACAAGTCTTTTGGGTTCAGGCAGTCTCTGCAGCGACACTTTGGCCACAGGAATGTTAAGCAGGCTCCGTGGCGATCTTCCAGGACTCGACAGCTGGTCACTTTGCTGCATGGCACTGTGGGAAAACGTTTTCGCACTGTGTTCCATCGCAAGAGCAGGTTGCGATTCGCTCCTTGCTTTGTCTGCTCCTCCAGGAAGACTAACCTAAATTCCAAACCGATAAGGGGAAAAATAATAATAATAATAAAATCCAAACCGGAGGCGCACAATGTAGGTCAGAAAGAAAGACATGATGATGATGATGATGATGATCTGTCCATGTGGCTGGTTGAGGTTTTTTTTTTTTTTTTTTTTTTTTTTTTGAAACTTCAGAGTGGTTGGTATATTAATTTATTGGACTTGTGGAACTCGATGAAGGACAAGTTGATATTAACTGTTCTTTACAAATCATAACTGAGATTAAATGCACTCAAACGGACGGACATTTCGTTAAAAAACTGAGATTTTAATTGTGAGTTAAATGCACTCAAACGGACATGTCCTTATACAGTGTAGTGCTAAGCTGATAGCTGTTTAATAATTGTGAGTTAAATATGCACTCAGAAACGGACATTTCGTTAAAACTGAGATTTTTTTGGGTGTAAAATCACGAAATTGAATTCTGAATCAGTGAAAGGCTGCCAGGGTGTGAATTAGCGACTTCCACCATTTTCTATTGAGGGTGAGGGTAGACATCACTTAGTCAACACCAAATGGAAGTCACTATTTTACACCACAAATTCTCAATTTTCACTGCAGTGAATTCAATTTTCGTGATCTTACACCCCCCCCCCTCCCCCCCCAAAAAAAAGTCAGTTTGAAGTTTTAAGTTTTAATAACCAAATGTCACTTCTCAATTACTCTGTTCAGTGATATGCATGCAAAGTTTACACGTACATGGTCGAACTCTCTTGCACACAGATCGCATGCATTTGCACACAATTGCACACAATTTTCACACGATCAGACTCGGAGTCTGCCGTGTCCACCGTGACACAGGATGAATGCACTGCCAGGTATTTAGGTCAGTCAATCCAAGAGGTCGCGACAAGCCACTACTCGAGACTCCCTCGCACCCTCTCTCCATTCTTCCTCCCTATATACTTATCCACCTTCCCCCACTTTCCCATTCCAGGAGACTGCGGGAGTTATCCCGGAACCATGCCATCGAAAGAGAGTTCAGTGATCAGCCGACCACGGTTATATTAAATTATGAATTGCGTGTTAATTGCACTTAACTAACGAATCGGATACTCACGTCGCTGAGCGAACAGAACAGGACAGAACGCCATCATTAAATTGTTAACAACACTAATAAATTCATAATCAGTAGAAGTTGGACCAAATACACACATCCATTTTCGTAGAGAATAAGGTTGGCTCAGCTTGGCTGTGCAATCCATACTACCGTAGTAGCAGTACCGTCAGTACGTACACTCTGTTCTTACAGAATCTCACTTGTAACTTCATTTCTTTTCGTATCCATGCGCAGGGAAAGGGCAGGAAGGAGGTATCATGCCAACCGCAACACACACACACACACACACACACACACAGATGACTTGTGCGGCACAAACCTTTCCGTTATCCTGCAAAAAAAAAAAAACAAAAAAAAAAACTACCTGCGTAAAAAGGACCATTGGAAGTGTTGTTAGATGTGGTGGGAGATGCTGTCAGCCCTTTTTATATCATAGACATGCCTCCCCACCTACGAACCTACGACCTGATCCGATATTTCACGCCTCCAAGCTTTTTCCCTGCGTATAATCAGAATCATCATTCCTCCCCTGCAGAGCAATTATTATTCCACACGATATGGATGGAAGATAGGACATAGGTCGCCTACGCGATCAAGACACTCACTTGTCCTTCGGGACATCCGTAAAAAGGATTGGAACGATACAGAGAGAAAGAAGATTAGCATGGCCCCTGCCTGCGCAAGTAAGGATGACATGCATAAATCGAGAAATTGTCTAAATTGAAAAAAAAAAAAAAAAAGAAAGGGAAAAAAAAAGGAAAAAAAGA